GGCGAGAGATATAGACATAACTGAAAACCTTGATATTATTCTACGATAGAGCCTGGGCACGGGCGGCAACCGCAAATGCCGAGAGAAAATAATTGAGACCGAGAGAAGCAGGGAAATTAGAAGCAAATAGACTGCTATCGGGGCTGAGAGATTCCTTTAGTTTCTTGTATAACTCTTTTGTTCTGTAATACTAACATGCTCACAATTTTCCTCGCCACATCCCTTTGTGCAGTATTTTACTCCAGAGATATAGTCTGTGGAAGAAGAAAAACGATATTTTTTTTTAAATTTTCATCTTAGTGTAAAATATCTAACTAGTTAGATATAATGCTTGATAATTTTATATATTCAATAAAGAGAATATAAGTAGATTTTAGAAAGCCCTCGTATTCAGAAATCCATACTAAGATATCCTTTAGAGTTATGTTTGTGTATTTTGCAGACGCCCAGCAAAAGGACGGAAGTCTTCCATCACTTCATTAGGTGAAAAATCATGCAGACATCTTTTCATCAAAGACATGTCTGCAAGTGGTGTTTCAGGTGAGTGTTTAGTAAATATGAGTGAAAATACCATAGAAACTGGATTTTATATATGTAAAGGTGTTGATTTTTTTATAATGAACTTAAACTTGTGCTATGTGAATATGTAATACCTCTCTCTCTCTCTCTCTCTCTCTCTCTCTCTCTCTCTCTCTCTCTCTTCTTCTCTCTCTCTCTCTCTCTCTCTCTCTCTCTCTCTCTCTCTCTCTCCTCTCTCTCTCTCTCTCTCTCTCTCTCTCTCTCTCTTCTCTCCCTTCTCCCTCTCTCCTCTCCCTCTCTCCCTCTCCCTCTCCCTCTTCTCTCCCTCTCTCCCTCTCCTCCTCTCTCTCTCCTCTCTCTCTCTCTCTCTCTCTCTCTCTCTCTCTCTCTCTCTCTCTCTCTCTCTCTCTCTCTCTCTCTCTCTCTCTCTCTCTCTCTCTCTCTCTCTCCCTCTCTCTCTCTCTCCCTCTCTCTCCCTCTCTCTCTCTCCCTCTCTCTCTCTCTCTCTCTCTCTCTCTCTTCTCTCTCTCTCTCTCTCTCTCTCTCTCTCTCTCTCTCTCTCTCTCTCTCTCTCTCTCTCTCTCTCTCTCTCTCTCTCTTTCTCTCTCTCTCTCTCTCTCTCTCTCTCTTCTCTCTCTCTCTCCTCTCTCTCTCTCTCTCTCTCTCTCTCTCTCTCTCTCTCTCTCTCTCTCTCTCTCTCTCTCTCTCTCTCTCTTCTCTCTCTCTCTCTCTCTCTCTCTCTCTCTCTCTCTCTCTCTCTCTCTCTCTCTCTCTCTCTCTCTCTCTCTCTCTCTCTCTCTCTCTCTCTCTCTCTCTCTCTCTCTCTCTCTTTCTCTTTCTCTCTCTTTCTCTCTCTCTCTCTCTCTCTCTCTCTCTCTCTCTCTCTCTCTCTCTCTCTCTCTCTCTCTCTCTCTCTCTCTCTCTCTCTCTCTCTCTCTCTCTCTCTCTCTCTCTCTCTCTCTCTCTCTCTCTCTCTCTCCTCTCTCTCTCTCTTCTCTCTCTCCTCTCTCTCTCTCCTCTCTCTCTCTCTCTCTCTCTCTCTTCTCTCTCTCTCTCTCTCTCTCTCTCTCTCTCTCTCTCTCTCTCTCTCTCTCTCTCTCTCTCTCTCTCTCTCTCTCTCTCTCTCTCTCTCTCTCTCTCTCTCTCTCTCTCTCTCTCTACCTTCCCCCCTTTTTTATAAATTTGTCTGCCATCCACTGGATGTAATAAATTTATTAAATCAAATTCAATCTTGCCATCTCAACTCTTATTTTCCCTTGATTTCCTCTCTCTCCTTCTCTTCTTCAACCTTTTTCTCTCCCCCTCATTTCTCTCTCATTTTCCAAACTCCCCCTCCCATTTACTCTTTTGTAATGAAAATATAACTTTGCCAGAGAAAATTGAAAAGATAGCTGAGGGTGACTCTAAAAATAATAGTATAAGAGCTAATGAAGACGAGCAAGAGGAAGAGGGGTTAAATGTCAAAAAATCATTGCAAGAAAGTGATTTAAATGCCTGGTTAGAAAAGGGTGCTATATTGGAGCATGGAATGGATTACTCACCAGAACAGCAGGTGCATTTGATCAAGCATATGTCCCTAAACAGCCCTTTAGGTGACAATATACCTACTGCAATCACACCCATTGGTTCCCCTCATATGGATCCCTGGTCATCTCCAATATCTAGTTGCTCTGGGTGTTCCTCCTGTGTTTCCTCGGAAGTGGAATCTCCATTGCTATTTCAGGTGAAGGTTAGTGGTCTAAAACTTTGTTATATTTATGTTTGAAGTGTGATTTATGTAATGTGAAAGGTATTGGCCAATTTCATTTTTGCTATGCCTAATTATATTCTTCATTGTTGTATGATGATACTCATTTAGAAATGAACTTGTAGTTTGATAAGTAGTTAAGGCAGAAGTTGCCCTTGTAATGTGCTCAACCACTAAACAAATGAGTTTGAAAAAAGGCAGGAAGCTTTGATAACATCACAGCAGACATTTTGGTAATTGATATTTCCACAAAGCTATTTATTTTCTTAGATGAACTCTTATTTTCAGATGATGACACAGGTTTAGTAGAGTATGGAGCCATCTCTGTGTGAATGTAATTAATAAACTGAAGTCATAGTGGACATGGCTTGTTTACCATGCCATCTGCAGCCAATGGGTCAAGTTAGAGGTGGGCTAAAGGAGATGACATACTACTGTGACATCATCAAGGCTCCCTGAGCTTTTCCCAAAATTCAGATTTGTTATGTGGCAGTGACACTTTACAGGCAAATCTCCTCAAAACTACTGATCACATTAAATTCATTTGTATATTAGATTCACCATATGATACTAATTAGAAATGTTTCTCAGCTCTGGCCATTATAGTCAAAAGGAGTCATGCATCATAGTGTGTAGAGAATTGGAAATGGATTTTGAGTGATTTTTTCTGGATTTTATGTTGTTGTTTTTTTATATGTTCATGAAAGAGATTTATAAAACCTTAAAGATTGTTGTTTGATGAGGTTTTATTATGTTTGTTAAATAACACATCTTCTCAGGCAGCCAGTCAGACCATAGAGTCCAGTGGAGAAGATTTTGATGTGGACTTGCCACTGACAGAAGAGGCAGTATGTAATATGCCATATATCAGCTCTCCTGCCAGAGAGTCAAGTGATGTGACAGAAGTAAAAAAACAGCAGCAGGGAGAAGAGACACAAACTGAAGAGAAAAAGGATATGGAAAGCATTTTTGAGACAAATAGCCCAAAACCAGAGGGCAGTAGCCTTCCTATACCAATACCATCCACTAACTTGGTAAGCTGTGACTCATCTATTAATTGTAGTTTAATTTTCTTTGCATAATGAATAATAGACTTTATGAAAAATAAGTGGTATCATA